TATTAACAGACGCCAGTTTCTCTACTGACAAACCATTGATCCCAATTTCTGACGTAATTATTAAGATGTATTTTAGTTTTTCTTCGTAAATATTATTGATGATTAAAATGTGTGTTCGATAACCAATATAATGCAAGCTTTTGCGTTTTTAGTACATTTTGATGGTAAAATATTAGGTTTTAAAATGCCTATTCCAGAAAGCCTATTCTGAACCATTAAGTTTATGAAGTCATTCAGGCGTAATGGACAGTAACCAATGTCTGGTTGACAACGAAGGGTGCCACATGGTATTGTGACAACACAACTGTTGTACTCTATAGAAGATTCTCAAAAAGTATTGCAAGGTCCATGCTGTAATCAGTTCATTTGGTTGAAATTCTTATTTTCCAGTACTGTAAAAGCATTTTTTTGTAAATGCGAATACAAATAAAGTTTTCATCAGCATTGGTAGGCTTTGTTTGATCAAGTGAACTATATGGAAGGCAAACACCGCCAAAAATACATCTATAAATAAACAACCTTTTCGCACAAACAAAGCTTATTCTCACAAACAACATATTCGCACTAACGGACGAGGTATCGCGCAAACAAAGTACTGTACTAACAAATTAAGTACTCACAGTAGAATTTTTAAACTTTCACTCCACAACATAATAATTTTATTCTACTGCAGAAGTGTTTCACCATAAATTTACAGTGCTGGTAAACCCTGGTTTCAATAAAAATTGCTACACTGTCACTGCAGTGTTTTCACTGCAACAATCATTAACACTGCATAGCTGTTGCCAGTTCAATTGAAAATGTTCCCCGATCCCTGAAAGCTGTAAGCAATAGCATGTAGCGATTTTATGGAAACAAATGTTTACCAGAAATGATTTTGTTGGAATAAATGTTAAAAACATTCTAAATTACATATCAAAATATGATCAACATACTTGGAAAAAAAAACAACTATAGCATATGTAATTGTTTCTGTCAAATTTTTTTTATTGAAAAGACATAAATCCATACTTCAAAATGACCGTAGAAATAACTGTAATAATCCTACAAAATATTTGAAAAAATACCAAATATGAAAGTGTTTTTTTTTTAAATTTAAACTTGCATCTTTTTTTGTGGATCTTAATAGTGTTTAAAAAATATTCTTAACTTAGATTTAACAGTTCCTACATGAACTGATAGATTTACATTAATTGGTAATTGTGTCTGAAATCCTTAAGCAAATCTTTTATTATACCTTGTTTAGCGAAACCACCACTCGCCAATAATGACTTCGAATAAAAATAAAATTTCAGTTTTGGATAGAGCACATCCGCCGTCACGAAAAAATAGAAATTTCGGAAAAATTTAAGCTTTTCTTTATTTTTATTATGCCCGCAGCTGCCTTGAAATCTCCAAAAATAAGATATGTACGGTTTATTTCTTTTAATTATATAAATTTAAAGCATTTAACGATCCTATTACTACACTGTTTACATTCACCAATTTTATTTTTATTTTCTCCTCCGTCTGGATGTTTTTGGCAAAATAATTTGCTAATTAAGAAAACAAAATTTTATTTTTAGTTTTTTTCCGCCCTCCTCTGACAATCTTTAAAAAAAATAAGTTCGCGAAACAAGGTATTAAAAAAGTCTTGCCTTACCAACACATTATATTGCATAGTTATATCATTGACAAAATAGAACATTACTCTATGGATATATCCAATGTATATAAATACCATATTGTACTTGATCCTTTGATATTTAGGAGCTTTTAATGCACGACGACGGTAGGAAATAGAACGTAATAATGACATCACTAAGTCATCTGCGCCTGGAAGAACGTTAAGTTATCCGCGTCGCGTGGATTTTGGGATGCAATTTTTGCCTAATCTACGTATGTAGAAAACATAGGAACTAAGATAGGACAGTCACGCATGAGTAATTCCGTTCCTGCGTCGCATCGTCGTGCAAATCAAAGGCTCCCTATTAGCCTCTTGAAACACAATTAAACAGATTAATACAAACATCATTTATTGACAAAATGTAAAGCAGATGAACTAGGTTTCTATGGCAATTAGGTACTCACATTGCTTGCGGAATGTGAAGAGTATTTACATTATGACAATCGAGAGACCTTTTGACTCGAAAAAGTAAACAAACTGTTAGCTATCTCATGGTTTATGGTACGTGGAATGGCTTTGGGATGTCGGTGTATTCTTACACAGAAATATTATGAATCTTAATAACAATGTTTTTTTTTTTTGGTTGCTTTTTTTCTCAGAAAAATTATTATAAACTATAAATATTTAGTCAACCATGTAATTAAAAATCTGGGGCTCTGATTCTTGTGGGTGAAGCTGACCGAATGATAGGAAATTGATCTATTTTGATTCTTCTTACGACATATATCATAATATAATATTAATAATAATAATAATAACATAATTTTTAAAAACTGTAAACATCATTAACATTGTAATCAAAAGATGTTCAACCCTATAAAATATTGTAAATAATTATCTCATCAAGTTAAAAAAAAAATATTTGGCCTATTAATAGCCAATGCTTAAGCCCTGTCCAGACTATCAAATTTTATTTGACAAAAACAGGTGACATGCCTAAATATGGTCATGATGACATCACATCATGACCATATATAGGCACATGATGCACATGACTATATATGGTCATACAACAGTGTTTTAGTATCTGTGAACAGAACTTAATAAACATTTCCTACAAACAAAATACTGAAAGTCTTACTTTTGAACGATTCCACAATAGGCTTACTTAATATTTTTATTAAACAGAATACAGCAAACATAATACAATAAGATGGCATGACAAGTACCGTATCCAATTGTAGGATTTCTGTAATCATGTGAATATATATTAAATTTATAATTTGATTGGCCCTGCATCGAGCATTAAAAAAGCTCATCTTAAAAAGAAGTGCACAGTTGGAAGCCTTGTTGAACACTTTCATCCCCTCCCTTCTTATATGGCAAAGAAATAGGTCCAGCCATACAGCATGAACATTAGCATGCGGCTTATGTTGCATAACCCGAACATTTGTTAATCCAGACTTTTCGTACCTCTTCCACAGACATTTTGCTACCCAGAAATTTCACAAACATGGCGTTTCAGGTTAAAAGTCTGGGTTACATAATATCCACAACAAAGTGCAGGTTACGAAATGTCAGCCTTTGGCAACATGTTAACTGCTATTTATCACAAGAAAACAGAGATATGTAAATGATTTAATCTTTAGAATTAACTTTATATTCTGGAAAGACAACAAAACAAACTGATTTTGTTTTAGGTTGGAATAGATTATAGAATTTGAAGAAAGAAAAAGAATCCCTCAAAGATATGAATGTTGAAGATTACTTTCTTTCACATTTGAAATAAATCTTAAGTACTATAACATAAAACATGAAACAAAAAATTACATATAATTGATAAGTAATTTACGCAAGAGCACCCATCACCAACGAAAGGGTTGTCAGGTAGATTTATAACGGAAAAAAAAGTCGTTTTTAAAAGCACCAGAACTAAAACATTAGCTCACTGATTGTCGATCTATTAATTATATAATAATTATTATCTATTAAATAGGCATGCAAAATATATCTGGATTTTCCGAGATACACCATATTGGATATTTCTCAATCGTTTAATTATAAATTTATCTTATCCTTCTAAATAAGGATAATATCGTTTTTTTTAATGAAAATTATATTTTTAAATTTTATTCGGTTAGCCTGTTTTGCTCGGCCAACAAACTTGAACAAGCACTGAGCCTGCGTGTCATACTGTACTTGACAAATTATTTAAAAAAAAAATTAATGAAATGATGCGAAATATCAAAATCTTACACGTATAAGGTAAACAATAAATAAAACATGCATTTTAGAATGGAATGGTTGAAGTGTGTGGTATGAAACTTGTGCGATATTTACATTTCACTTAAATGAAAGCTGAAGTATTTGAATGAATATGTTTAAAAAGTTTTAAAATGTTTAAAAAGGTAAAAAAAAATATACTGATAGTATTCAGTTGATTGAAATTTACTTGTGTGCGAGAAGTGGTAATTCTGGGTTGTTGGCTCATATTTGCTCAGAGACAGATTTGCTCATTGTAAATGAGCCCAATTCGGGCATTCCTTAGTTGCATAAATTGATGCGAGAAGTGGTTATTCTGGGTTGTTATTTTGCTCAGGTATTTGCTCAGAGAGAGTTTTGCTGATAGTAAATGAGCCCAATTCAGGCATTCATTTGTTGGGTAGATTGATGTTTACATAAAACAGGCATAAAAGTATTCTACACGGATTCGTGGTGAAATATCTTATAAATATGTGGGAATACCAGTTGGAGTTACTGTAATCCCTTCTAGTGTAGAAGGGATTATTAATGGATAACTAATACAGGATTTGATCTGATTGCACAAATAATACAGGATTACACAATGTAAACATACAGTAAAAGTGGAGCGAATTGGCCTTGGTATTAATGCCACGTTTACTCAACAAAAATTTCTAACCCAATTTTTATCATAAGAACATTGAATTAACCATCGATTCAATTGTTATAAAATGTAGAAAATAAAACTTCTTACAATTTTTGGTTTTCTGGAAGATTTGACTTGCGTATCATATTAAATTTATTCATATGAAAGGGAATTTATAGTACTGCAAAGTATGAAATAGTCCCATAGATAAATGCATAGATTTGTAACAGATAAAATATATTTTTAGGACTTTATTAAACAAAATGTTTTATTTAAATTTGAGAAGGAACCTTGGTAGCTTGATGCAGTCTTGGTTCAGAGTGACTTACTTAATTTTAGGGTCCAAGGCCATTATATGTCTGTAACTATTCAAAAAGTGAAGAAATATTTTTCTGTGTTTCTCCTTACTCTGTCCAGACTGATACACTTTATTTGACAAAAACATGTGACATGCCTAAATATGGTCATGATGACATCACATCATGACCATATATAGGCACGCATACAATATGGAAATGCAGGCAAATAGCTTCCTTTCACGGATTAAAGACATAAAGGTTGTAATGACCCCGGAAGAAAGCTCTTATACCTTTTGAAGCAACGTCACCGAAACTTCTATACATTGTCGCAATTGGCCTATATCTGTGACATAGAGTTTGTTGAACTAAATTGGTTAAACCATTAAAATTTTTTTTTTTTTAATGATTTAAGACCTTAATAATTTAATAGATTAAAATCCATCATGTAAAATGCAACATAAGAATTTCAAGTCTAAAAACCAAAACATATCTATCAGGAATTTGAAGCTCTGTCACCTTCGAAAGTATCTGCAGTGACTATAATTTCTAAAAATATATACAGACTCCTGTCGGTTAATTATACAAATATACATGTTCTCCGCTACGCAACATATCCATCGTATGGAAGATCGACAGGTAAATGTTCTACAAAATTACATCTTTACTTTGTCTCTTCCAATTGTCTATAGAAAACTCTTGATGCGGGTTCATCGCCGATGCTGTGCTTTTTCCTGGTGTCTTTTCATGTGCAGTGAGAGATGGTCGGACCGGGAGAAACAACGTTCGCATACCTTGCATTTGAACGGCTTGGCACCGGTGTGTTTGCGATAGTGACGAGTTAGTTCATCTGAGCGGGCAAATCTCCATTGACACTGCGGCCACGTGCATAGGTACGGTTTTTCGCCCGTGTGTATTCTTTGATGGGCTTTGAGATGCGAGCTTTTGGTGTACACTTTGGTGCAACCTTAAAAAGAAAAGTAATCAAAATGGTTTACGTTGTGTTTTGTAGAATATTGAAATGTTTTCAATTATTTAGAATTTCTTAATTCCACAATGATGACATTGTCAAATATTTTATTTGCATGAGGATACTTTAAAAGAAACAAACAAATTTGCAAAAATTGCAGACAGATTTAAAGGTCCAAATTTTAGCACAAAGAATATTTCCTAGGTTTGAACTTTCCTAGGTTTGAACTGACAGAGTTGCCAAAATTATGACGACAATAAAGAGAATTGTGCAATATGAATTTCATTATGTCCTGTGTATATATTATATAGGTTGTGTTATTTTTATATGGTTTATTAGTATTATATTTTTTGTTTGAACTTATTGGTAATAAAAGTGGTAGCATTCATAAACTAAACAGAAGTATGTTTTTTGGGGTTTTTTTTATCACTGGCGCAGTGCTGCCCTTCCTCCATTTCTCCTTATTCATTTCAAACATTCAAAATGTTACTGGAATGTGAATAATCATGATATGAAATATTATAAAATAAATTAATTTTAATGGGTTAAGTCACCAATAAATAGGTCAGTGAGAAGTAGGTCCTGATCCAAAATAGTTTAATGAATCAGGGTACAGTACGAAAAAGTTTCAACAGTACATGATTCATATGATGTTTTAGTATGTTTTTTAAAAAACCTGTCTTCTGTGGTTTCATTTTTCAAATGAAAAATTTAGTAGCAACAAGAGGTTAGTGAACTTGATAACCAGCAGATTGTGTCAACCCAAGAAACTGCTTGTGGTTACATATATAGGTAACTATGGCGACAACGTCCTTGATTGATGCATAGTGATTTTAAGTAGTTAACATTTGGAATGAAAACCAGATGTTGACAAGGGAAGAAAAGTTTCATTCATTGTCACCTGTTGGGTGCTTATCTCAGTGATGCCACTGTGCTTCATCCATGTTATCTACTTAACATATAACATAGAGCATGAGACTGCATGAGACCACTTTAGTTTGTGCTTACTTGCAATTACCATGGCGATAAAAACATTTTTTTTTTCTCCACAGAGAAACAAATAAGAAGCACAACATTTTTAAAACATAACAGGGGAAAAAAGTGACATTGATGCAGAAAATGAATTTCGAAAAAAGAAAATGTTATATGATTTCTATTTATGATTTAGCCAATAAATCAATTATTTTAATACATTTTTTATTATAAAAATATATATTATTGTCAGTGTTATAAAATAAAACCATTGAAAATTTGAAAAAGTAGAACATTGAAAATTAGCTCATTTACAAACACAGATGAAGTTAAAACCGAAAGGTCCACTGATTAATCTCAGATAAGAAAGTATGATACATACTCCAAGTATTGAAATACACGATGACGTGTATTTCAATACTTGGAGTATGTATTATACTTTCTTGATGAAGTTAACAATTTCCACTTTTAATTTCAACTGATTGAATTACATTTTACTGTGAAAATCACTAAATTGATGAACAGCAGATATAAGAATTTTATTATTTGTTCATAATTCAGCATTTGGATCAAGACTTTTGGTGACCATAATGCTCCTTATAAGTTGTATGAAAAAGTTTCAAGCAAGAATTGAACCTGTAACTGCTTGCTGTCAGTGTGGGTGCCATGCCACTAGACCATAGAAACATGTTGGTATATCACAGAATCGATACTGCCAGTCTACAACTGATGCTCTTACAATACCATATTGAGAGAGTAACTTTTTCAGCAAAACTAATGAAAAAGAGGCTCTATGAATTGTTGGCTTACCAACTCAAGAAGAAAATGGCACAAGAAAATACTTACTATATACTATATATATACCTACTAACTGAATTAAGTATTTCTTACCTGCATAGCAACAGAAATGGACTCGCCTCTTCTCCAAATCAGGATTGTTTCGGCGGTTGTACTTGGTGTGGCAACCGTGTGTACTATGCGTTGACATCTTGTTAGCTACAGCAATTGGGTATGGAGGGGGCGGGGGTCTTAACGGGTTCTCTGACATACATTCCTCTGGTGAACCCGGAAGAGAGCTAGGTGGGGTTGGAGGCATGAAAAACATAGAAGTCGCCGAGTTATTGCTCACGTAATTCGGAGACACTAGGTACGCGTTAGGCGTCTGGAAGTGAGAATTGTGATTTTGAACATGAATATTCGAAGACTCCTCTTTTACATTGTGGCTTGATGTAACGGAAGCAATCCGTGGAATGGAGAGCATGGTAGAGAAACTAGGTAATGATGAAGGCATATTGCACTGTGGTGGAAAGTTCTCTAATGGTTCCTGTTTAATCTGGATTCCATTTGGAATTCGGTTTAAATTGGTCTTGTTGTTTTGACAAGACATATTGGAGTTCGTTTGTTGCGAATACGAGCATGCATTTCCATAGCTACATGAAGATTTCATGTCCATTGCTTCTTCTTTCAGAAGAATATTAAAGTTGCTAAGAATATCCAGCGTTAACCTATCGTCGTAAAATAACTCATCGATAACTGACGCACTCTGACGTCTGTTCTCTTTCATTGGTGGCGTCATCTGGATGCTATCCGAGGTACAAGACTGTGCTTCCTTAGGAAGGTATTTGTCAAATTCGAATATTGTCTGAAAAATAAATAGCAGATTTCGTTTAGA